GGGTGTGCGGCAGCCGGCGGCGGGGAGGCGGCGGTGGGGGCGGCGCAGACTCAACACACCAGCAACGTTCCGGGGGACCAGGTGCCGAAAAAGTTTTTTGCGAAAACGGGGTATAGTGAACTGGTGAAGGAGTTGAAGCGAAATGGCTCTTTGACAAAAAAATACAAGAATGGTTGCCTTACCGTGTATCCCGCCACAGATGCATCGGGAAAGGCAGTTAAGATTGATCGGAGCGACATAAATAATCAAGACGATCCCGAATGTCCACGGGAGAAATCCCGAGATCGGCATCCACAAAGAGTGGATAGTCTGACGAATGTTCCAGAGAATCTACATGTGGCAGGTGCACAGCAACAACACCAACATCAACAACACCAACAGCAACAACAACAGGTTTCGGGAGGACTGCATCCCAACGATACTGAGGTAACAGATCAAATTGAGAACGGAGTCCGCACCCACCAACAATCCGACGTCCACTCTGCGGACCGGAGCGCCCACCCGATCGACAACCCAGGTCCTGGGCGTTCTGGGCCAGGTTCCGATCAACGCCGTACCACAGCAGGCGATGCTTCTCATCAACTCTCTACATCTCACCGCGACAGCGACGCCGGAAACGGAGGGGGCGGCAGCCCCCCTAGGGACACTCTCCAAAGTGAGCAAGCTAGCAGCAGCAAGGAAAAGGCGGGCAATGATACAGTCAACGCCGCCTCTGGAGACATGCCTTCAGGTGGTGCGGCTGCAGACACCAACGAATCTGATGGGAGCGCCGGTTCAATTCCTCTGACAACGGAGACTGTCGAAGATAAGAAGGACGCTCTTGGTCAGCACACAGAAGATGCCGTGCCCGTTGAAACTCTTCCTAACGGAGACGTAAAGACACCGAGCGAAGCCGGTGCTGCTGGCAGCAGTAAAGTGGAGGCTGATGTGAAGGACACCAACGTCCCACTTGGAGGCACAAATGACGGCAGCACCGCCGCCCAGCACTTTGCGCCCCTTGTGCTTCTTGCGGGCGCATGTGCTGCTGTGCTGCTGGTGGCCTCGTAGGCCGGGCACACACATACATGGGAGGCATGTGCTTACCCAGACGCTTGTTGTATTAACAAGAGCGTATTCATTAACCTTTTTGCACGCAGACACATTGGGCTCCTAATATAAGTCTACACGTGCCTCTATCCCGTAACTGTTCTCTTTTTTTCTTTTGTTGGGGTGTGCCGCAGCGTTCCTCGCCGTGTGGGTAAATATTCTTAACTGTTCATTGCTTTCAGAGACCTCCCTTGTGTGCTTGTGGACGGAGGTGCTCGTCGGATCATCCCGCTGCAGGCCCGCTCTGGTGGTGCCCGCACACCCGTGTGTCGGCCTGTCGTGGTGGCGACTCTTCGGTTCTTTTTCGTGGAATGGTCCAAATATGGTGAGGTGTGTGTGCGTGGCTGCTGCCTTGTGTGTGAGTGTCCCTTTGCTTCCCTCCTCTCCTGCGCAGCTCAAGGCAACACCTACCACTACCACCGCGTCTTCCAGAATGATGATGATGCGCTACGTGCTTCTTGCGTGTGCCCTCTTCGTGTACGTGGGCTGCGGCTGTTGGGCGGCCGACGACGTGAGACAGCTGAAAGTTCAGCATCCTGTTAGAAACGGTGTGATGGCTGAAAGAGGTGTGAGTGGGGTTCTCGATCCTGAATTTGTTGTTGAGCCAGTGGTGGGTAAGCATATGACCAGTCAGGGTGATGGGCAGCTGCAATCCACTTCGGGGGAGCTGATTGAAATTGTTACTGATGCGCAACCGTCGGAAAGGATGAGCAACGTTCTTGTAGAACAGAATAATAGTGATGAGAGTGAAGAGGAGGAGGAAGAGGAAGAGGATGAGGAAGATGAAAAGGAACTCAGTGATGGCGACGGTACCGGGGACCATGAGGAAGGGGACGAGGAAGGGGAGGAGNATGAAGATGAGGCTGTCAATGAGGATAGTACTATTGCGGAGGCCGAAGGAGAAAGTAGTGAGGCGGAGGGGAGAGACACGAAGGCAAAGGCACACAAGAAGGATAAAGGCACAATGGGGAAAAAACTGGAACTCAAGCCGGAGGAAGATCGAGGCAGACATGATACCGAAACCGGCGAGCAAGTGGAGAGTAGACAAGTGACTTCTGGAGAACCGAGCACAACGCCAAGCGCTGGTGGTATCCCTGGAATCGTTCCATTACTCCCTTCAGACAAGAAGCCTCAGACTGAAGAGATGCCGGCCACTGACGTCACGGAAAGACACCAGGGTGGAAATCACAAGGAGAGTAGTGTTGTGAGTACGACCCGGCATGGACCTGACAAAGAAGGGGACCTCAACCACAACACTAAGGAAAACAGGATACCAGTGGCCGAAATTCCTCCTGCTAGCGGCGTTGACACTAAAAGTGCGGCGGGAGCCGGGAGGAAAGTTGACAGTGAGACAACCGGGAGGGGTACGGACAGTGCGGAAGTGCCTTTGACCAACAGCGGCCTTGTACAGAGTGGCATCGCACCAAATACAAAAGAAGAGGAACACGGCCAGGCAGTCACGGCCAATGGCCCGCATATATCTGATGGCCGACACGACACTCACGGTGCGGCTGTTGGCGCAGATTCCTCTGCAGGTGGTGCATCCACTGCAACAGAATCTAACGGTAACATGGATGATATCGCAATGACTGCCGGGAAAGCCGGACCTGAATCACCGGCAGCGCAGACACCTACTGAAGCTTCTTCCACGAGTGCTGGTGTCAGTGAGGCCCCAAGCAGCAACCCTGCCACCACTGTTACTACACTCGAGACCGTGAAGGACACGAAGAATGCGGACAGCAGCGTCAGTCCTGTGTGGGTGCATGCACCGCTGCTTCTGCTGGCGTTGTTTGCAGTGACGGCTGTGTGATGAGCATTGTGGACAAGTAACATGCCTCCTCGCAATCTCTCTGTGTGTGTGTGGCATCCTCGTGGTGTGGTGTGGAGGGTGCGTTAATCCTAATTGCTTTTCATTTCTGCCTGCATGTGCTCGTGGAGTACGATA